AAAAAAAGAATTTTAGTTATTTTTCTATAATTATTTTGTAAGTTGGTTCCCCAAAATAGGAATCAGGTGCATGTTGGTTCCCCAAAATGACGATTTTGAAAGTTGGTTCCCCAAAATGACGATTTTGAAAGTTGGTTCCCCAAAATAAGAATCAGGTGCAAGTTGGTTCCCTAAAATGATGATTTTGAAAGTTGGCTTCCTAAAATAGGAATTAGGTGAAAGTTGGTTCTATTTTGGTACAATTTTCCCTATATTAAATAAAGAATTTTATAAATTTAAAAATTTATAGATTTACAATGTATAAAATCTATTAAAATAAAATAAAAAACAAAATATCTATTTTTCTTATTTTTTTTTGGTTAAATGCATGAAATAACAACATACTTTCATAAATTTTTTTATTATAACATTCTACTTTTGTTTTTCTTTATTACAACAATGTACTTTCAAATTATTTTTTATTAAGGCATCGTACTTTAAAAAAGCTACCCATTATAGCAATGGGTAATTTATTACCTTTTAAACCGGTTAACCCTTTGACTTTTTTACTTGTGTGGCTTTAATGAGGTGATGTGGATGACACATCATTTTGATGACTTAACTAAAATAAAAACAAAAACCTATTTTAAATTATTATTAGTGATTTTCATTTTCATTGCTATGATCTAAAAAACATTTTTTTTGACTTTTTCTTATTAAGCTGCATGAAAATTAAATATTCTTATAGTAAAATATTTATTAAATAAATATGAAACATTATTTTCGAGATATATTTTGGCTGTAAAAAAAGTAACTCTTCTTATTTTATGTTGTTCAAATAAATACACATCTTTTAAAGTTTTTTCTAAAATGTTAACAAAATAAATTGTGTTCTACAATTTTTGAATATTTTTATATTAATAAATAATTCAAAAAAATCTAATTAATTTAATATATTCATACGTCAAGTAAAAGTTTTTGAACAAATATAATATATTCTTTAGAAGATAATATTTTTTTTGGTAAAAAAGAAACAATTCTTATTTTTCTTTTTTCAAAAAACTCATATTTAAAAAAAAATATTAGCGAGATAAGTTGTGTTTAAAAGTACAATGATGTAGTAAGAAAGTCACATCACTATAGTATATGTGGACAACCTACATGAACAATAAGGTGACATAGATAAAAAATTTAAAATACAATATTCTAATAAAAAATAGTTTGAAAATACATTGTTATAATAAAAAAATTTAAAAAATATAATATTATAATAAAAAAATTTATGAAAATGGACGGCTATTTTGTAAATTTTGCCCAATTTTTTTTTTCAGTAGATTGGGCTCTGCTATTTGGGCCTTGGTTATGATTCGGTAGCAAGTTGCCAAGTTCCATGCGAATCTTGATTACCGTCATTCGGTTTCGCGATCAATAATATACTTCCTAAACCCTAGCTGTATCTGTTCCCTCTGTTTCCCTTCCGGCACTCCAAATCTCAGTTCTTCCGATTAGGTGCGAGTCGGAAAATCTGTATTCATGGCGTCGGCGGATCAAACAGTGTTGCAGTTCGTTCCACTGTCCAGTAGCTTGTCAGCCAAGGTTCACCCTCTTGTAATCTTCAACATCTGCGATTGTTTTGTGAGACGACCAGACCAGGCCGAGAGAGTCATTGGAACGCTTCTTGGATCCATTCTCCCTGACGGCACCGTTGATATTCGTAATTCCTATGTCGTTCCTCACAATGAATCGTCTGACCAGGTTGGCGTTACATTAACCTATCCTTTTCTTTTTGTTGCCTGTCAAGTGTTCGTTTTAACGTTCCACATAAATTGGATAAAGAATGATTAAATCTTGATTGACGGTTGATGCTATGTTGCTTACTGTTAGGGCAGAAATATAATTATTGAATTACAAAATGAAAATAATGCCTAACAGCAAGGTTCTGGTTTTTGGCGCACGATGTAGTCCTGATTTTTTATGTTCAACAGAAGTTAGAGGTGGCACACCGTATTTTTACTGAAATTGAAACTCCACCATTTCCATAATAAATGAAAATTTTCCCCAAGTTTAAGATATAATGGCATTTTCATCTGACGCTTCTTTCATTTTCTCTTCAATCATGTTGCAAGGTTGCCCTGGATATAGATTATCATCACAACTTGTTATCTTCTCACCAGAAGGTGAACCCTAAAGAAGTGATTGTTGGATGGTAATTTCTCATCAAATGTTATTTTGTCAGTTTGCATAATCAGTCTGGTTTTAGGTATTGTTTCGATCATGTTGTTGTCATGATATTTGAATCTTGTTTGCATGACTTGAGAATTGATAATTGGTTGCGATTTGACTACCATATTTTTTTGAATTATATAATATTTATATGCGGCAAATATTGGGAGGTTGGGTGCCGGATACCGCTAGGCCATTGGCCCTTTTGGTATTGGCTGCCATATTTTATTGCTTACTTTCCATGAATGCCAATGTTCAAATAAATCCTTGAAGAGGTAGTATAGCACCATGCAATTTCTTCAAGTTAGGAGCGAAACTGCAATTCTCATAATATGCGACCTTACCATTAATTGCTTCTAGCTTTTGTGTGAAAATGATGGATGAAGCCTACAGTAGATCACTATATGAGAATCGAAATCATTTCCCCAGTGCTGAGGTGTAGATTCTATAAGATCTCATTGATGATCTTTATGGCGGTTGTGTCCCAGGCAACATTTATGTATGTGGGATAAGGGGTAGATGCCTATTTGCTTCTTTTTGTTAACTAATTTAGTCTCAAATTGGAAATAGAGATTGTCAAGAGCTGGAACGATTTCCATTCCATTTTATAAATTTCTTTCAAGGTATCTCATCTATTTATTACTGGTTGGTGGACTCAAGGTATGCCATCTATTTGTTATTGGTTGGTGGACTTAAGGTATCTCATATATTTGTTGCCTGGATGATAAGAATAATAATAGGATGCAATTCTGTGTTCACCTGAGTCCCTGGAGCGACCATCGTTTCCCTTGTTTGTTCGATTTTACGGCAATGGAACCAAATTGATAAGAATGATAATAGAATAAATGATACAGTAAACAAAATCAAAGGATTAAGCTATTTGATTATCGGATTCAAAAGATTGAGATGACAAAATCAAAAGGAAGCCTATGAACGTCCTTTCCTCTTGCCCAAGCTTTCACAGCCGAATACTATCTATTAAAAATGTAATTCTTGCCCGACTCCTTATTCCTAATAGGATTCATATTTATAGTATTCATATTTGGAATTGGGCTTAGGCTTTGGCCAGTGGGTCGGTGGGTCGTTCCCTATCAATGTGCTGTCTTTAAGAGTATCAACGAACTGAGTTTGAATGGCGATTGCATCCTCCCAAGTAGTTGCTTCAATGCTACCTTACCTAATTGAATCATGTGGTTATTCATAAGGGCTGTTGTATCCCCTATAACTGCTGGTCATGTCTAAAGCAAAGGTTAACTTTAAGGTGAGGAGGAGATTCCCTGCAACTCAATAAGAGTTCCATCTTTCCAGAACCGCATTTGTTGGGTCTGCCAATTAGAAACATCGCCCAAGGTTCCTAACCACGCTATGCCAAGAATCATGTCAAAAGGGTCCCAAATAATAGATCAAAGCATCTACGGTTCAAGTAAAGGTCTCCAATTGCATTGAGACCCTTTCGCATACTTTAGAGATGCGAACTCGGATACCACCGCCAAAACAGATGGAAAGAGGATTTGTTTGTCGAATTTCCAACTCTAAAGCCAACACTAACTGTTTCGAGATGAAGTTATGTGTTGCTCCACTGTCTACCAAAATTTGAACGGGTACGCCCTGTAATTCCCTGTCTCCTTGAAGCGTCTTCAAGGACGGAGAGAAATCTGATGCAAATCCATAAAACTCAAGGGCATTATACTCCCCATCTGAGATCGAATCATCATTTCTTTTTTCCTCAATACAACGAATTTCACCGTCCCCACCTAACTCCTTGCCATTGACCAACAAAATCATCCAAAGTTGTCCGTCGGTGCACTTATGTTGGGGAGAATAATTTTCCTCACAACTGAAACACAGCCCAAAGTTTGGCGTGTATATTCCCATTCCTGCTTTGTTAGATGCCGAGTTCCCGAGAATTGGTTAACGGGTGTGTTTTTGGTGACATTGAAGGGAAATTGGGCTGGTTGGACTGAGGGTAGGTTGAATTAAGGAAGATGTCCTTATCTACGCATTGGGATGAATCTTGTAGAGTGTTTCCAGGAATAATTAAGTCCACTGGTTCGGTATTGGTTGGTTTTATCTTTATGAGTGGCAGTTGAGAGCCCTAAGCCAATTCTTAATATCACTTTAGAGGCCATGATGGAACATCCCTGTGGATTGAGCCTCCGACTGATCTGGAATAAGGGCTGAGAGAGCTTCAAAGTTCTCTATATATTCATTGTTATCCCCTTCCTGGTACAGGGATCCCATAGCTTCATGTGCATTGTGGAATTTAGTTCCACCAAATTGGACCATCAGTTTGTCCCGAAATTTTTCCCAACTGGTGTGGGTGTTGATTAGAAGATCAGTAAACCAATTATGGGCAGATCCATCCATACACATTTGTGCTAATTTTAGTTGAGGGAGGGCCGGAGGGGTTTATGGACCTGAAAATAGAGTTCGGCTTTAGTGATCCATCTGTTGGGATTAACGCCCTCAAACACTGGAAGTTTCACCTTAGGCATCGATAAAATGGGGGTTTCAAAGTGATTGTTCCTGATGAAGGAACCGAAGCCACGATCGAGATTCTTCTCAGCGAAATTGTAACCCTCATTCTCTGGAGTTCTCTTGAATGCTGATCCCCCCCTTTCATAAATCTGTCGTTTGCCCTGATGTTTTTGGTAATCAGTCGCCAATTTTTTGAGAGATTTGGGTAATTTATTGAGGATCTCCTTAATCGAGTTGACCGACAAAAACAGATCCTTCACCTGATTAGAGAGGGCTTCAATTTTTCCATCTTGAGCATCAATCCTCGATTGTAATCGTGTGTTCATCTGAGTCTCTGGTTCCCTTCCTTGTTCGATTTCCCGGCAATGGAACTAAATTGGTAAGAATGATAACAGAATAATCTATATAGCAAACTGAATCAAAGGATTAAGCTATTTGATTATCGGATTCAAAAGATTGAGATGGCAAAATCAAAAGGAAGCCGATGAACAGCCTTTCCTCCTACCCAAGCTTTCACAGCTGAATACTATCTATTCAAAAATACAATTCTTGCCTGATTCCTATTCCTAATAGGATTTATATTTATAGTACTCAAGTTTAGAATTGGGCTTAGGCTAGTGGGCCGGTGGGTTGTTCCCTATCACTGGACTAGTCAGTTGCAACCTATTCATGCATGACAACCTGTGTAGGGAAGGATGCAAGACTGCAAGTGTCAGTATTGCTTGTTATATAGGCTTGAAATGCCTTGAACAGCAGCAAAACAATGTAAAATGAAGCTTCAGAGAAGATAATGAATCCAAAATAATCATATATTCTAACTGAACATTACAAAATATAGAACCATGGGAATCTAAGAGCCTCACCTTCTTTTTGGGATTATCTCTCAAGAAAGAAAGGTTGCCTTAAGAACCTTTCGGAGTTTACCAATGTAAAGAGCTTATTATTTCAAGTTACCTGATACCAAGAGGTGTAGGTGATTGGGGCCTTTTGCAAAGTTTGCACATAGTGTCAAGCGAATATAGAATGATGGTTTGAAGGGATCATAAATTTCTTTAACTTTCTCATTTTATTCACAGTTCCTTAAATTTTAGAACTCTTTGTAAAACATTGCTGTCAGTTGTGAACTTGTGACTCTGAAGATTGTAGATACCGATTCTTCACATGTGGACGATATGGAGCTTTATTATCCATATGATTTTGTGATTGTTGGACTATTTTATAAGGTCCCTTGTAAGAAATAAAATAACAAAGTACGCCCAGCAGGTAACTATATAACTGCAAAGCAATGTCGTGGGATTAAAATAACTAGCAGTCTTTTAGAGCCTTTTTTTAAAATGTCCTGCCTTAAACATACAAGGGCCGGTTCTCAAGTATTAGGAGAGATTGTCAGGTTCTTTGACACCATATGCTAAAATGTGTCTCAAATTGGTCACCTGTTTAATCATTATACAAGTTATTGAAACGTATAATATTTGTCTCTTCATTTACATCACAGCCTGAATGACACCTTTGCCAGCCATGATCTAAAAGGATATCGTTCTCTTATCTCAGCTATAAACATAGCCTTTGCTTGGAAAGTATTTTCTTGTAATTTGCAGAACCTCTTTTTAAATTACTAAAATATGTCAAAATTTGATGTCATTTAGGGATACTGCTTTTTTCATAATGATGTTCTGCTATTTTCATAATGATGTTAGTATAGCATCAATAATGTTTTCTATCTTCAACTCTTATAACTATGCTGTTTTTCCTAACTTTTACTGGTTTCAGTTATCTATCATAAGTGCAAATTGTTAAAGTTTCACTTTATGCTTACAAGTTCTTTGAATGTGTACCCTACAAGTTGACCATCTTGTTAATAACTTTTTGTGGACCATGGAGCAAATTTCAACAATTTGATTGTGCCATGTTAAAACTGTCTAGGTTTTCAACTGGATTTGGTGTCACGGGTGGTAGTGCTCTTATTCATGAGTTCTATTCTAGAGAAGTTGCAAACCCCGTTCACCTGACTGTGGACACTGGATTCACCAATGGGGAGGCTTCCATAAAAGCATTTGTTTCTGTTAACTTGTCTCTGGGAGATCAGCAACTTGCTGCTCAGTTTCAAGAAATACCTCTGGATCTGCGTATGGTTGAAGCCGAGCGTGTTGGATGTATGTGTTAACACACTCTTTCCCTCCATTCTTTTTATATCCAATGGTGAAAGTGTTACTTTATTTGGTATTGTCCATTCATTTGCTAGACAGTTTACAAGTAATGAAATTGCAAGGGGCATATTGATTTAACTGAAGATAAATAACCATATTGAATTGCGACAAAAAGCCGAAAGCAAGTTTAAACGATATACTGTTGTTGTAGTAGAGAGTCTATATTCTTCACTTCATTGATCTTGCATTTAATCATTTTGCATGAGATGCTTCAAGATGACATGGTACGACCGTGCGAGTTTATTTTGTTTTCTGCTACTTTGTTATTGGCAAAGGTGTGCTTGTTGAATATAATCATATTCAAGGGGACTCGTGGTTAAACTAAAATATAACGTTCTTGTTTGTAGTTGACATCCTCAAGGCCACAGCAGTTGACAAACTCCCGACTGATATGGAAGGAATGGAAGCCACAATGGAAAGATTGCTTCAATTAATAGATGATACCTACAAATATGTTGACGACGTTGTGGTGAGATAGACTTCATATTGATTACATCTTATACAAATTTTTCACAAATGCCTATTCTTTAAACATCCATTTTTACTTCTTGTAGGAAGGTCATGTTGCACCAGATAACAACATTGGAAGATTTATATCAGAGACTGTGTCGTCCATTCCTAAGCTATCTCCATCGGCTTTTGACAAGCTTGTGAACGATAGTCTACAGGTAAAGATAGATCTTCTCTACCCCAAAAATAGATTCACCTTGCAATATTTCTTTAGCTCCAAAAAAGTCATTCAAATGGTTTGATATTCCTAAATTACCCTTCTTCCATTGAAGATTGTCAGGATCCATGATATTACATGTTTTGCAAGCCTGGCTTCTTCAAAGAAACAGTCTCCCCACCCCAAAGGGCGGAGACAAGGTCTGCCTACATCTACCCCCAGACCCTGGCTCTGTGTGGAAGATATAGTGAGCTCATTTTATTTTGTTGGAATGGAAAAAAATAAACACTATATGTATGTGGTTCAGCAATTTGGTAACATCCAAGGTTATCACTAGACTGGCAACATGTTTACAAGCCAAATTCAGAACAAGTAACCATATTAACTGTTGGTTATAACTGTTCTCTTATCCGCAAAGTCAGGATCTGAATGACCTCCATACTCAACATGGGGAACAAGTGATATTGTTGATCAATTCTAAATTCATCTTATGGTAGCTGGTTGATTTTATATATTTGAAGTGATTTAGACTCATAATGACATTTGGTGTTTGATAGGACCAATTGCTGTTACTATACTTGTCAAGCATTACAAGGACACAACTGAGCTTAGCAGAGAAATTGAACACAGCTGCCCAGGTCCTGTAATCATCTTGCTCTTTTCCACCAAAAGACAAGATTTTGTGGTTTTGTTAGGAAATGGTTGTATCGCTTTCTCCTACAACATGTAAMAGCGCACACGCAAGATTATTTTCTGCTGCAACTGATGTTTATGGATGCTACTATAAATTGAGGTTTAGATTCAACAACCTGTTTACTGCTGTTATTATTCTTTTTTCGGGATCTTTCAGTTTGAATGTTTACTTGTTCGCAGTGGATATAGTTTCTTGACGACGGTTATCTTGTAGGTGCTTAAAATGTTGCATGGTAAAAACGATGGTCGGTTTTTTTGGTTTAAAATGGTGTATGGATGACGATAGAAAGATAGCAATTTATATCTTCTTCTCCTGCTATAACAGGTACTATTTAATGCTTGTTTCAACTTCAAAAATCAAGATGAATACATTAAATTCTTTTTGGCAAGTCTCGAAGGTGAGTTTGTTGTCTAGATATGATAGAATAGGACAAGGTAGAACCAAAAAGGATAGGAAAGAATAATACAATTGTTCAGATAAAATTGGACATAACAAAACAAGTATAATGAATTGTATATATGTTTTGATTAATTTATATAATTTATTAAATTATTATAAAATAATTATTTTTTATAACAAAATATATCATTAAAAAGTTTTTTTTTTTCAAAAACAATTAAGATAACATCAAAATGCAGTTTTCAATTTTTTATATTATTCATTTTCTATGTTAGTTTTATTATTAAATAAATAATAAATTACATACATTAAAGAATATAAAAACCATATAAAAATATAATATTTTTAGGACGGTAAAATGAAAGTTTAAAAAGCATAGAATACAACAAATAAAATCTAAAGAATGAATAAAATGTAAAAAAGATAAATATTTCATGTTTTAGAAAAGTATTAAGTTTTATTTTGAGTATATATTGGTAAAATATCTGTTTTACTGTTCCGGTTTGTTCCATATGAAAGTCCTGCTAAACATAGAACATAGATCCCCTTTTATTTTGTCCGTGTACCAAACGCATCGAAGGGTGATAGTAATTGATAGTCGATTTTTTATTCCTTTTGTTAATTGTCAGTCCCCGACCTAGTTTGTAGGTACCTTGATAAATCCCAGGGTTTTACAGAACAATTGCCTTGCAAAACTCAAACTAGGAAGTAGGAACTTTTGAGAAAAATTCTCAAAGGCCCAGGTAATATAGCAAGGTTTAGATCAACCTTTTGAAGAGAATCGATTGAGTTACAAAAAGAATTGCTGGATTATAAGAAGAGAGTTTATACTAAATGAGTTTTCTTATGTATTCACCGAATAACTTACAAATTTTGAATATATTAAAAAATTGTTTTAATCATAGTCATTCAGATGTGATATTGCAATCTATCACATGTGATACAGAATAAAACACACAAGCAATTTTTTACACGACTTGACCTAGTCGGCCACACACAATCGGGTCCTTTCATGTTTATTATCACAAATAATAAAACTATTATTACGTTTTTATAAAATGGGTTTATTCTCTCCGTATATATAAAAAAGTCATTTTGAAATTGAATTCATATTAGATGAGTTATCACAAAAAAAATATATAAGTAAGATGAAAATGATTGAGAAATAGTAAAAAGTTGGCAATGGCTGAATGAAGGGGGGGAATAGGTGTCGGGTTAGTGAGGATGGCATTAAGGAAATCAGGGCCGCCTCAATTTCACGCCTCTCTCTCTCTCTCTAAAAACACTTATCGATTTTGTTGATGAGACAAATGGAAACAGACACCACTATCTCACCCTTTTTGACTCTTTTACCAACATTTCCCCCCCTACTATATATATATTTTAAGAATTGTTTATATATAAAAAATAAATGTTAAACATGTTTGGTTTGAGCATATATATATATATATATATATATATATATATATATATATATGATGTTTAAACAAAAATACCTCCATTTTACGAAAATATAAAAACATATTTATCACATGTGATAATACACCGAGGGGACTTGGTGGTATGTGAACGACGTGGCCTGTGACTTGGGTCGCACCAAAGTCCTTTGCATCTTTAATTTAGTATCACATCAATAATATCCATATTACATGTGTGATAATACACGTGAGGGGGTTCAGTGGTACACGAGCGACTTGACCCACAACCTAAGACACCTCAAGATCGTCTACATATTTGTTTTAATATCACATATATCATATAAGGTATGTGTATTTACACCTCTAATTATTTTGTAGACTAATATGGTAAAATTAGAGTAAAGAGATATCCATGATACGTATAGTCGACAAGTATGCAGTTTGCAACAAACCACCCCAACCTATACAACTACAAATATTCATAAACAAAACAAAGGGAGATGGGAGACAAAGACAGAAAGGAACCGCAGCCAAACTAAGTTTCCAAATGCTACACGACAAATTCAACTCATTATTATATTACTATTTTCGTCTCCCTTATAATTTATTAACTAAGGGACTATTTGTCAGTTGTTAAATGGTTTAGTGTCAGAATGATTAAAAGGCTTTCATGATATAGTGCAAAATAAAATATAATTGTTTGGTAATTATTTACAACAAAATTAGGGGGTTGAATGATTAAGGAAGGACCAGGATACAAAATCATTCAAGGGGTTTTAGAATCATTAAGAGGCATACCTCTTAACAAACAAACAACCCCTAAATCAAAAAGTTTAAAGATTTATCAATTAGGTTCAGGTTCAGGTTCAAATGAAGTTCAATATTTTGGAAGAATACTTAACACTATATATGATTATATGTACGATACACAAGTTTAATCATATATGATTACACACATGTTGTATTGACAACATATAAACGATTAATTGTATATTATTATACACACCAAAAAAAAAATGTAATCATATATGATGTTGAGACTTGTATTCTTGCAAAATATTTAACTTCTTGCTGATCCTTCCTCTTATCAACTAATACTATATAAAACATGTGCAAGACTCGGGGCATCTCCAATAGCAATGCCAAAATACGGATTTGGAGATTTAACGATCAATGGTATCAGTGGTATCGATTATACTGATACTTGTGGTATCAGTGGCACATGCCATCATATTATTTCTCCGTCGAAGGGTAAAAAGATTAGATTTCGTGAACGGTGCAACCATATTAATTTGTTGTGTGTCACCGTATATATTTTGAAACTACGATGAGAACAAATTTTATTTGATAGAGTTGGTTTGCAAGACTTTTATTCTACCCAACACTCAAGTTTGAATCATGTTAATGTCATTTTCTTAGTCAGATGGTGTCACCCTTTGAAAAAAAGAATCTGTATATTTGTTTCTTATAGTCAAACATTGCTACCGTTTGAAAATTTTCTCAATATTTTTTTCTTATGATCAAATGGTGTCACTGTTTGAAAAAAATTATGGGTCCATCCCTGAATGTAAAACCCTTCAAATTTAGAAAAAAAATCTTTAAAACTCTATATAAAAGAGGAAAATAATATTTATTTTTTTCCCCCACCAATCAGTATTGAAAATAAATGTTTATAAGAGAGAAATAATATTTTATTAAATGTATTTGTTATTTTAATAAAATAATTAATGCAAAAATTGCTAAAATAGAGCAGCTGTTGAAGTTGGATATAATCTTTTTAGATGGCTTCTGACAAATTCTTCAAAATGGAGAGAAATAAAAAGTCAAAATCTCTAAACATATTACATTCATCTCCAACAGATTTTTTTTCATTTTGGAGATTACACTATTAATTATATTATTAAAATATTTAATATATAAATCATTACATATTATTTCTCTCTTAACATGTAATTTCAAACAATCTCATTGATAGAATGAATAAAAAAATCATTTATCAACCACAAGGGTGGTATCTGATTAGTTTGAGCTTAACTCAAATGGTCAAAAGTGTAAGGAGATCTCAGGTTCAAATCCAAGGAGGAACAAAAATCCCTTTGTGGCCACGGAGGTTCAAATGCTGTGACTCCAGTCGATCTGCAAAGCAGGTGGTCATCTTGGGATTAGTTGGCTCGCATAGCGGGTTGTATATCCAAGTTAATAAAAAAATTCTTTTATCTATCACAAGTATTCATTTTTGGAAAATTTTATTCAAATCTGAAGAATTTCATTATCTCTTTCATACCTTCTCTATTTTAAAGAAGGTTTTGGAAATCTTTTGAAATAAAAATCTCTAAATCTCTATTTTATAGAATCTGTTAAAGATGATCTCAGAGCATATCCAACAGATTCTCTAAAATAAAGAACCAAAAATCAAAATCTCCAAAAACATGTTTTCTATTTTGAAGAATCCGACACTGATTACAACATTAAAATATTGCATTCATCTATTGAAATATCATTTCTTTCTCTAATATTTATTTTTAAAGTTTTCTATCAGATAAAAACCCTTCTATCTTTCTTATTTTTTTTCATTTTTAAGAAACTGTTGGAGATATTATTAGAAATTTTGATTTTATTTAAAAAAATATAACAAAATTATTAAAAAAACTTTTATTATGTAATACAATTAATGATCACTAAAATTATCAATAATATTTTATGTAATCTAGAAAAAATTGCATCAAAATGAAAATAACTTTCACTTGATTCTTATTTTGGGGAACCAACTTTCAAAATCGTCATTTAGGGGTCTCTATCAAACTTTTTGTTTATTTAAGGGTCTGGTTGACTTGTTAACCTGTTAATGCTGATATCATCCAGATATTTTACCAACTAAAATATTCCACATTATATTAATTTTTTTATTTTAAAACTAATATTTCACGTCATATTTAAAATTACAAAATAATTATAGAAAATAATTAAAATTCGTTTTTTTCTTCAAAAATTAATGCAATAAAATCTATTTTTCATTTCAAATCTCGTTTTTTTTTAATTCATATATCAAATTGAAGATTTTTTTCAAAAATAAAAATCCAAAATACCACAATAAAAGTTGTTTTTTACTAATGCAATAAAAAATCAATTTAATAAAAAAAATTAATTGATGCAATATAAAATAAATATTAAATATCACATTCAAGATTTTTATATCCAACCAATCCGTATAAATATTAAAGTTTAAATCAAATTTGGTAAATCAAACCAAAAGTTTGATATAGACCCTTAATTTACATGTTACTTGTTCAACAGGTTAACCAGATCTTTAAATAAACAAAAAGTTTGATAAAGATCCCTAAATAACAACTTTAAAAATTGGTTCCCCAAAATATGAATTAAGTGAATATTGTTTCCATTTTGATACAATTTTCTCTTTTTAACCTATTAATTTAATTTAATTAAAATAAAAAATGAATTTGATGGTCAAGAACATGGTTGGGAATTGGAGAAAGCAAATTGACCCTTTCACTCCTTCCAACAATTACACTCCGACCACATCAGGTTAAAAAAAACACCCATTCTTTTTTATTTAAACTAAATCTAATTATTAATCCATTAAAATATATTTTTTTATTCTATTTAATTTAACAAATAAAATCCACTGATTTGAAAAAAAAACACAACAATCCAACTTACAAAATACTAATTATTAATATATTAAATATAATATTATTTATACGTACGTTTAGTCAACTTGCATAAAGCTTAATTTGGACTAAATGACATAATTAGTACTAAAACTAACATTATCACGAGGGTAATATAGACATTTCATCTATTTGTAATCGAATATGCACAAATTCCCATAATAGATTCAATTTCCATTAATTGATTATTAATTTTTTTACCATTTTTGTCAAATGTGATGTTTTTTTAACATTCAAAACGTTGGTTTAGTTCATTTTGTCAAATTTGATGTTATATTTAATACTTTATTTTTGTTATATTCAAATGGGTTTTAAGCTATTATATTTAATTCTTTTACTGTATAAATATCAGTCATTAAAATCTATAGTTTTTACAAACAAATAATTTGTGAATAAATTATAAAAAAACGATAATTATTTATAACCATGTTTTTTTTGGTATGTTGATATGGTAAAATAATTATAAGCATGCGTATAGTTGTTTATAAACATGGGTCTTGATGCTTTGCATATAATTTTTATAATTATTAAATAAATATAATCCCTTTTTTTGAGCAAAAAGAGATACGTGTTAATGTCTATCTCCCTTTTCTTGATTTGTGTAGTATAAAATTATTTACCATTTTAAAAGGTGTTTAGATTGCTCATTAACTATTTTGATGTCACATCGATAATAAGCAGTTTTGAGTGTTCGGATAAACAATTTATATCGGTACCAAACCAGTAATAAGAAGTTTTTGAAAAAGTTAAAACTCTTCTAACTTATAATAAGCTGATAAGAACTTTTATAAAAAAACATAAGTTGTTTTAAATAAGCAATCCCAAACAGCCCCTAAGTAGCAAAAAATATTTATTAATAAAATTAACTTAAAAATAAATTATATTCACCAAATAATATATCAGATACAAATCATTTCAAGCTAATTTTAAGAATACGTAAAATGGGGATCATTTGAACATGGTTTTAAAATTAGGGAAATGTTTTAAATCAGTGATAAGTTACAGAAATGTTTTATGACATGCAGACCTCAAGAAGTCTTGATTTCTTATAGAAATAACAAATCAGAGCCCGCTAGTCATGTTCAAGTGATTTTCCAAAATACGTAACTCAAATAATAGACGAAGGGGGCCCTTAGCGAAATGGGTTCTTGGGTTCAACTTTAAATAAGCGGAATTAGCTCACGAGATGTATATGTTATAAAATGCACATAATTTGAGAAAACAATCAAGTATCTACAACTCTGACCTTCTTTTGATTAAAAATCTACGGACTTTTTAAAGTATCGAAACTTAAAAATCGATCAAATGCTAGTGGAAAACAAGACAAATCACAAGTTACAAAAACATGTTGGTCAAAAAGTGTTTTTTATAGTTGCTCTAAGCTTCCAACAACCAATATGCAAAGTGTTATGTTTGAAGTTCCCTAAATCACTTTACCAAGCAAAAGACAAATGCCATATGACACCATAAAAGCCAATTTCAGCCTCTTTCTCTTTGTCCCCACTACTTTTGTTTAATAGGTTTTTTTTTTTAATTTTATCTGGTTTTTAAAATAACAACTGAATGAAAGTAATATGACCCAGATGAGTTTTTGGTGTGTAGCTCAGTTAGAAGAGATAGAACTACTTTGTCCAAATATAAGACAGATGTTGAGTGAGTAAAAAAAACGTCCCTTATTTACATTGGTATCCTTGAATGAATTTTATTTAACTAACAGTTTCTGAGTAAACATGTATCTGAGAGAGGTTACTAAGATTAAGCGACGACAACAACATACGTTCGTTGTATTTGTTTGACCTTGCTTTGTTATGAATAATAATTGATGGTGTCAAATGCGAACGAAACATTTATAATCAAATAAGAACAACTGATAAAGAAAATGAATACGGTGTAATTTTTTAATTTAAAAAAAAGTTAAATTAAATTAAGAAGTGAGATCACAACCATCCAACTCAGAGCAGACAACTTCTTCTTTGACTTTTCATCACTAACGTTAACCTTTTCCAATGCTTCTACTTTCCCACCAAACAACCCATATACATACATACATATTATATATATATATATATATATATATATATACACATACATACATTATATATATATATACATACATACATTATATATATATATATATATATTGTCTACATTCATTTTCTTAAAAGATATTTAAATGCTCACAAAACGGTACGGGGAAAAACAATCTTGAACGAACAAGAAGTGAATCGAGTGACGGGCTTTAGCTTTAGTCCCATAAAGTTGGGCTATCAACGGTTGTATAACAGGTTTAGTTTTTCAAATTCAAGAAGAGATCAATTTTAATCGAAGATTAACAGTAATAAGATGCACCAGATGAATCCTTGTATTAAACTCAATTCATGGAACAGGGTAAGATTAAAAGTGATCAGATGCATTCTCTACATGCACATTCGTTGGATCATCTAAATTAAATCTAAAGCCGTAGATGGGTTAGTGGGTTCTTTTCTTTTCGGGTTCTCTTTGGATCTCATCCATACGTAACAACATACACGTGAAGTTACCATTTTACCCCTTGGAAGTGGGATAGTTAACGCTCAAAGATTAGCAGGCTTTGTGCATGTCTATCTGTAAGAAGCTGATGACACAAAAAACCAAGCAAGAAAAAACATAACAAGTAAAAAAATGGATCAAATCCTCAAAACTCTCCCATCCCCTTTCCTAAATTCAAAGCAATATGAAAATACCATCAAAACACTACTCAACAAAAACCTTATTTTCCTCCACTTACTTTGCTTTTTTCCCAATTAAAATAATACCATTAATTGTTAATCATTAAAATGGTACTATAAATATAGTGAACCCAACTCACACGTACGTACCTCTGCTCTGCCTGCATCTTTTCAGATCACAAACAAAAAGAAGACCCATCCATCTTCACTTTCAGAAGATCTAAATATGGATGAGGGAATGTCAGATTTTGGTCTCAAACTTAGCCCAACCAAAGGTGGACCACCATCTCCTGCTCCTGCTCCTGCTCCTGCTCCTGCTGGTGCTGGTGCTGGTGCTGGTGGCGCTGGCGCTGGTGCAAAGTGTGGTCGGTGGAACCCCACCAACGAACAAGTCAAGGTGTTGACCGACTTGTTTAGGTCAGGTTTACGAACCCCAACCACTGACCAGATTCAAAACATATCCTCTCAGTTGAGCTTTTATGGCAAGATCGAGAGCAAGAATGTTTTTTACTGGTTTCAGAACCATAAAGCAAGAGAAAGACAGAAACGTCGTCGTGTTTATGTTGAAAATCTTGATCAAAACGATCATCATTTTAATGTTTCAAAACAACGTAAGTCCTTCGTTCATTAACATCCATCATTTTATGTTCTTTTTTCTTTTATTATCAAGATCTCTCTATAATAACATGTTTTTGTTGATCTTTATATAGATTTTGCAGAGGTATTGGAGTCGGGGAGGGTGATCGAGACGTTGCAGCTCTTCCCGGTGAACTCACTCACCTTCTCTGATCAACCAGAGAAGGTGAGAGCGTACACCAATGACGAATGCAAAGAAAACGCGTCGCCTTTTATGTATACGTGTGCAACGGAAATGGAAAACCATTATCAACATCGACATCCTTCGCTAGATCTGCGTTTAAGTTTCATGTGAAAGAAACATGTAAGAAGCTGTTGATCATTGGAAAATCCTTGAACAAATGACACAAATGATCGTATGCGTTCATTCGAATGATATTTTGCTAGTTTTTAGCTTGTAAGTCGATGGATCTACTAGTAGGTGCAAAAATATAAGTTGTAACATCCCGAAATTATATTGGTATGTAGCTAGGTAGGGTTCTAATGTGCTTGGTTGACTTTATTTTCAAACATTTGGCTTCTTTGCAAACTACCGTCTTACGTATTCAAACGAATGAAATTCGTTGTCCGTTAGGCGTTGCACGTCTAACTGATGATATTCAAAGCTACAAGAACGTACAATACGATTGAATTCACTATAAATGTTGGTAAAGTTCGGTGTCTACGCATAGATATCGGCCTTGTGAAATACATAAATTATTAAAGGGTTCTTTGGTTCGTATTTTTATTCCCCCAGTTAACCTGAAATGAAAATTTGGACTATAAGTGATTACTATTTTTGGATGCACCCAAGATGGCTTGTTGGGCTTCAAGAATGCAATACAAGCCCAATTGCTTCACCTTATGAGGCCCAAATATGTATATGAGTTGCATCCCGAGTCGCTACAAATAATTTTTCAATGTGTTATCGATGTTGTGGTTGCCTCGTCGCCTGATGTATGCCCCGATCGATAGAAGTTTTGGATCGGTTGACAAAAGTATAATTTCGTAAAAACCTAATTAACATGGTCCAAAAAGAGTACAGACCAGTCATAATCGGGCATAATAAAGACCAAACACCGACCCGTGGTTTGGTCCAGTCCGAGAAAGAAAACTCTGCGTGGTCTGTTTGAGAAAATAGAAAAAGGGGAAAGAAATTAATGGATTTTAAAAACACAATCCAGTCCGTAACTAGTTTTAGTTTTTCGTATGTATGTTAATAAGCACGATGGTTAGAAAACTCGGTTCATGTCTTTATAGAACATGTACAACATCCCATATCCATTAAGCCATACTTAAGTCAATAGAACTGCAGTAAAAGCACCGTTTCTCATTGATCTCAACATCACACAACCAGTTAATGCTCGTTATACAATTGATCACCTAAAATCTTCTGATACAACAAATGCAGTACAACTATAGCAGTATTCATCAAGAACATTTGTAAGCTATAAAAGATTGCCCAGGCTGCAAAAAACTGATAATTCAACAGAGATTTGCATCCAAAATAAGGGTTTTGGATTCTGAAATCTCTCTCTCAATCTTTATCATCATCGTCGTCGTCATCAGGCTGAACAGATTGCTCAAAGTCGGCCTCCATAATCACTCCATCCATAACATGTATTACCATCTCCCCCTTCCTCAAATCTACTCGTTTTGATCTAACCCTGTTAACAATAATCATTTCGTCTCCATCTTTAGATATATCTAGCTTAAGTCCTGATAAAGAATCGCAATTTATCTCTTCGCCGTATGGTACAGATTCTGAAAGAATTTTCCATGGCACAACTGTGAACCCCAGTACACGCGAAAGTATTGCATATGTATCATTTGCCTTCTCCCCAACCAAACTATCATTTATCCTTAACCTTAAATCGCGCTCAAAAGCGGTTTTTGAAGGGATAAATATCGTAAATGAGAGATCTTGAGGCAACATTTCAATCATCATCTCACCAAATTTTCCTATCCTCTCGCTATTCTCAGGAAGTTTGTTGATTTTCTTGAGTATGATGGCATTGCCGGCACCGTTGCTAAATGATGCGTCTGGAAGTCTAAGAACCGATAGGATCAAAACCAAAAAGCAAGAAATAGAAACAATTGCAACAAGAAACACGATTGGACTCCTAGGAGATCGACCTCGTCTCATTTTCAAAACAAATGATCTTCGGCCACGAGATCTTAATTATATGCCTACCCGATTCACTAAAAGCTTTGCTTGGATAGAAGCGAATTGCTGGAGCCCAAATATAGAAACAACACTTCAGTGAGGAATTTCGTCGAACATGTTCTAAGCAATCAAACCATCAATGATAGCGACAAACCCACGACGGAATTTGTGATCTTTGACAGAATCAAAACAGGCCCATATAAAGAGACAATTGATTAGCAGATTAGACCATATGAAAACAACAATAAAAGAAAATTCTAACTAAAAAAAATAGAAAATTCAGGATTGAGAGGTTTACCTCAAAAAGATTGTCAAACAGTTCATCACCTGGAGAAAGAACAAGCTTTCATAGTTCCATGTATGGAGAGAAGTTGCAAAGTAACAAATGAATTTTAGGGTTTTATTGAATTTCGATGTTGGAAGTAAACCAGAAGAGAAAAGAGAGAACAGACGCTACTTTTACCGTTTTCTTGTTCGTACGACTCCATCACCTTGGAAAGCCATTGACTTCCCACGAGGCTCTGCAAGATCGTGAATCTCAATGCCACGAGAGTTGAGACTGAAAAGGTGGAGGGCTTTTCATAAAGACTTGGGCTTGTGATATTGATCCTTCAAGCCCGATTATGGATTTTGTATGTCGACTCTCATAATTTAACCAATTTATTGATTTAGACAAAATGTATGAAATAGTAACCTATTTTTATAAATAAAAAAAATATAACATTTTATTTTCACTTTTTCTTATTATAACAATGTACTTTCAAAAATTTACCCGTTATAGCTTTGCTTAACTTTTTAAATTAAATATACCAATTATACCAGGTTTCTGTCGTCTCATCATGCATGTAGGCTGTCCACATGCTGACATGATATTTCTTATTATAATATTATACTTTTAAAATTACTTTATTATAACATCACCAATTTCTATTACAACATTGTATCTTCAATTTTAATATTTTTATTATTTAAACATTATAAATTTAATCAAATATGTTTACTAAAAAATTATAATAAATATTAATTTAGATTGTAATATCGTTTTTTACATGTTATAGAAAGCAAAAGACACTTAAATCGATAATTTTTTTAGCATTAACATATATGTAATAATATATCAAACATTACATGAAATTTAATCTTTTTTACTATCATATAAGTTTTTTATCAAATTAAATATTATATATTTTTAAATAAAAAATATTCTCTCTTAAAACTCTGCAAACAAATCAAAGTAGCTAACACATACAAGCATCACCAATACAATTTAATATTATAATTTTTTATAAACATATTTGATGAAATTTATAATATTTAAATGATAACAGAATTAAAATTAAAAGTACAATGTTATAATAGAAATTGGTGATGTTATTAATAAAGTAATTTTGAAAATACAATGATATAATAAGAAATGACATGTCAGGACTATCGTATATGAGGACAGCCTACGTAGACGATGAGGTGACAAAGAAACCTGGCATAATGGATAAATTTAATTTAAAAGGTTACTCAATGATATAACGGGTAAATTTTTGAATATACGGGTAAATTTTTGAAAATACGATGCTCTAATAAAAAATATTTTAAAAGTAAATTGTTGTAATACGAAAAACTGAAAGTAGAATATTACAATAAAGAAATTTGTAAAAATATGTTGCTATTTCGTGATTTTTCTCTTTTAATTTTTTCTGAAATTATTTAATTTTAATTTATTAAAACGTTTTAATATTCTTTATGATAATCTTTTTATTTTTGTTTCATCCAATGGGTTAATTATTAAAGGGTATTTGTTTTTTATTTCAAGTTGAAATTACCATTTACGGGGTTGTTTATTTACCTTTTAATAGTTCCATCAAGAGACAACATTTAAGTCGTTAAACGGTGAATTTTGTTTGATAAATCAAAATCTATCTCTTAATGGTTCTAAAATCCTCTGAATAGTTTTATATTCTAGGTCTCCCTTTAACCATTCAGCACCCTAATTTCAGTGTAAACAGTTACCAAACAATTATATTTCATGTTTTACTATATCATGAGAGTCTCTTAATCATTCTGACCACTTAATTATTCTGGCACAAATCATTGACAACTGTCAAAAAGCCCCTACCTCTTGTCTGTATTAAGTTATCTATAATCTATACTATATTACAAAGCATTTGACAAAAACTCTTAAAAACCACTTTTTATGCGTAAAAGTACTGTTTATAAATACATATTACTTAAAACTCAAGATTACAAGTAGACTGTGCGTAAGTATAACTTATTAAAACTCCATATCTGAATTCGTGTAACTAACTGCAGATAAACATAATCAAATACAAGATAAACATCTTATTTTAAATATAAAAAATCTAAAATATAATTAGGATAATCATTGAATTCTAACAGAATACTTAATTATTATCTTCACAAAATTTATAAGATTATATATACTATATTATAAAGCATTTGACAAAAACTCTTAAAAACCACTTTTTATGCGTAAAATACTGTTTATTAATGCATATTACTTAAAACTCAAGATTACAAGTAGATTGTGCGTAAGTACAACTTATTAAAGCTCCATATCTGAATTCGTGTAACTAACTGCAGATAAACATAATCAAATACAAGATAAACATCTTATTTTAAATATAAAAAATCTAAAATATAATTARGATAATCATTGAGTTCTAACAGAATACTTAATTATTATCTTTATAAAAGTTATATTATTAAACCAAAAATAAATTATTTCATTATTAAACTTAAATTAAATTATAATAGAAAAAATAAATTAAAGAAATTACATAAAAATGAGAACTTTTAAAATTTATCTATACTATATTATAAAGCATTTGATAAAAACTCTTAAAAATCACTTTTTATGCGTAAAATACAATTTATTAATGCATATTACTTAAAACTCAAGATTGCAAGTAGATTGTGCATAGGTACAACTTATTAAAGCTCCATATCTGAATTCGTGTAACTAACTGCAGATAAACATAATCAAATACATGATAAACATCTCATCTATACTATATTATAAAGCATTTGAGAAAAACTCTTAAAAATATTTTTATGCATGAAGTACCGTATATTGATGCATATTACTTAAAATTCAAAATTACAAGTAAATTATGCATAAGTACAACTTATTAAAGCTCCATGTTTGAATTCACGTAACTAGCTGCGGATAAACATAACCAATTAGAAGATAAACATCTTATTTTAAAATATAGAAAATCTAAAATATAATTAGGATAATTATCGAGTTTAACAAAATAATTAATTATTATCTTTATAAGAAAATTATATTATTAAACCAAATATAAATTACTTCGTTATTAAACCTATAAATTATAATAAAAAAATTTGAATTAAAAAATTACAAAAAATAGAAATTCTAAATAGTTAATTTGATACTAATGTCGATATATTTTTATCAAATTTATATTTTATTTAAAAATAAAAACATTATCGTTTTTTCAAAATCATATAAGACCATATTATAACATCGAATGAGATAAAAAAATAAAATGAAATATTAAAATCAAGATGTATCTCGCTGCACTGTACGAGTATCCTTCTAGTTTTAAATATAAAAAATCTAAAATATAATTAAGATAATCATTGAGTTCTACATAATACTTAATTATTATCTTTATAAAATGTTATATTATTAAACCAAAAATAAATTATTTTGTTATTAACCTTAAATTAAATTATAATAAAAAAATAAATTAAAGAAATTACATAAATAATGAGAACTTTTAAATAGTTTATTTGATATTAACATTGATATATTTTTTTCAAATTTTTATAATATCTTCAAATTTATATTTTATTCAAAAATAAAATCATTATTGTTTTCTTAAAAACAAATAAAATCGTATTATAACATCGACAGAAACAAATAAAATAGAACATTAAAATCGAGATGTGACTCGCTGCATTGTACAAGCACTCTTCTAGTATATTATAAAACATTTGACAAAAACTCTTAAAAACCATTTTTTATGTATGAAGTATTGTTTATTGATGCATATTACTTAAAATTCAAGATTACAAGTAAATTGTGCATAAGTACAACTTATTAAAACTCTATGTTTGAATTTGTATAACTAACTGTGGATAAAAATAATCAAATAGAGGATAAACATCTCATTTTAAAATATAAAAAATCTAAAATATAATTAGGATAATTATTGAGTTCTAACAGAATACTTAATTATTTTTTTTTAAATACATTATTAAACCTAAATTAAGTTACTTCGTTACGTTAAATTATATTATATTAAAAATTTTGAATTTAAAAAATATACAAACAAGAACTTTTAAATAGTTAACTTGATACTAATATTAATATGTTTTTTGTAAATTTTATATTATATTTTCATGTTTATATTTTATTCAAAAATAAAAACATTATCATTTTCTAAAAAACACATAAAATTGTATTATATCGACATGAGTAAAAAATAAAATGAAACATTGAAATAAAAATATGTCTCGATACATTGTACGAATACTTTTCTAGTGTTTATTAAATGCATATTCATGAAAACGAATATTATTCATCAGAAAATTCACTTATAATTTAATATAAAAAGGTACATGACCACTAAGAGCATGAAAGTGACATTTTGTGAATTTTTGTTTTAAAAGTAGATGAAATATTCTAAATTAAAAATGAATTTTTAGGAAAAATAAAAGATTTTTTTTATCCTTTTTATGGATTATTTAAATGAAAGAAGTAATATTTTATAAATAATATCGAATATTTTAATAATATAATTAATATTGTAATATTTAAAATGAAAAAATTATTGGACATAATCATAATTTTTTTCTTTTTAAAATTTTGACTTTTGATTTTTCATTTTCGAGAGAATTTATTGGAGATGCTCTTTAAAATTTATTTTTGATCATTGTGGTTTGTAATTCCTTTCGATTTTTGTCCCTAAGACTTAGGAGTCATTTACCAAACACTTACTCTGTAAGTGTTTATCAGTAAAATTTAACACTATTATTTACTTACCGAGTAAGATTTTAGTTCACCAAAACGACATCGTATGCAACAATTTACCCGGTAAACGCTTACCGTGGTAAGAGTCGTCGTCCTCACTTACCGGGTAAGACTCGTTGTCCTTGTCTTGCTCTTACCGTGTAAGATTCTTGGTCTTTACATATTCATCTAGTACGATAACGTGACTTGGTAAGCATTTACCCGGGTAAGTGTTTGGTAAACGGCCCCTAACTCTTTTAAAAAAGGTCATTTAAGTTAAGGGTAATTTTGTCTTTTTAGTTTTTTTTTAAATTATTTTAAACAAATTTCTTAGGTACAAACGTATACAACCACCACATCCACCCGGACCACCCCCATGCTTTTCTTCTCCAAGATACCACTGTCGACTCACTGACTTCCCTCGCCTCTCCTTTTCCGGTGCACCATCAAGAAATCCAAATCATTTTCAGAAGCTTGAACCTTGTAATCCATTTTCAAAAGCTTGAAATCATTTCCATAAACGTAGAACTGAAACCAAAATCAAACCCATCTTCAAAAACTTTAAACCCAGACCCAGACCATTTCCAAAAACTTGAAAATCGAAACCAATTTTTATCTCATCTATCAAGAGCATTTTGTATCATGGATTCAAAAATAAAACATAAATAAAGTGCATACACATTTCAGGTTTAAAGCTTTTGAATGAGGTTAAGTGTTATGGGTAGATCAAATGGAAAGACCATATAAAATCGAACCTTTTGAATAAATATGAATAAAATACAAAATCCACATTATCAATGCCCAACCACTGCTTCCCAACTGAACAAAATGGAAATGGAAATGGAAAATCGGATGTATATTAAAATCGAATCTATCAATGTAAATCGTAATAAAAGCCATCAATGTAGACCGAAACCAAAACTTTTAATCAAAGTAAAATGAAAAACCTAAAATCAACATAAAAAATGAATAGTACCAGACGGTTGTTTGTGGAAGATAAGTTTAAGATGTTGATGGTGGTTAACGTCGATGGATTCAACGTCCCCATGACGGTTACACCCCATGATGGCATAGGCACGTGCATGTGGTCACTAAAGGGAAAGGGGAAGCGTTTGTTGCCGTAGGGGAATCGGGGGATGGGAATTGGATGAGATCCACATCCATCAGTCCTCGAGATATTGTCCTTATGGTTTCTTCCTCGTCATATCATCAGATCAATCAGTCCTCGAGAGCTTTGTTCTCTGTGGTTTGGTCCTTGGAGTAGAATGAGAACGTCGCCAGAGGGAAGGGAGGGTCATCGTCGACCAACGAGGTTATGTGGTGAGAGTAGGGGTGAGGGAGGGGGGGGGGGAGAGTAGCGGGAAGGTTGAACACCGACAATAAAAAACAAACACAAATTCAAGAACAGGGTTGAACATTGAGATCGGAGTATCGGAGTGGTTGTTCTGAGGGTCTTCAATCTCCGATGTGTTTGATATCTAATATATCTAATATTATATATTTTTTAAATTATTACTAGTAAAAATTTTAAAATGTAAATAGACAAAATTACCCATACTTAACGACACTTTTCTAACGTTATTTGCTTCAGGGACGAAAAAGGAAACCACTATTTTGACGGTTCAAGATAATTAATTTATAACTTTTAATTAAAAAAAAGTAGTCAATATATGATGATAAAACGAGAGAAGATAAAAGGGATTATATTTAATCACAAGTTAAATTACAAAAGAGACGTCGTTTTATAGATAAACTAGCAACAACAACAACACCACAGTATTTCACAAACAGACAAACAACCATGACATCAACAACATTGTCCCGAAACGTACTGCATGAACTCTGGGTCCAATTCAAGTGCCGCCATTGTTTCCGGCGAAAGCACCACCTCCAAATCCACGCTTCCACCACCTTCTTTCCCAGGGAACGCCGATATCTTACCATCAAACTTGTTCGCCCTTCCACTCCTCACCGCAACGGGTTTTCCCCACCCAAAATCATTATCAAACATTGGAAACCTCGGCGAACTGCCCATCGTCAGCATCGCTCCATCGAAGTTCCCCAACGGAAAACACCGTGGGTCCTGCTCCCAACTATGCACAGCACGACGGACCATCGTATCGTCGTGGGATAGTACGTTTTTGTTCAGCTGCTCGGCGCACCACTTAAGATCATGTGACAACACGTCGCCGGCGGTCGCGTATGTTGGAATGCTCTGAATTGCGTTGCCGAAATAAAGAGTTTCGAGCTTTGGTTCCAGCCGGTGCCGGCAGTTCACCGCCATCCTAAATGTCGTCGTTTTCGAATTCGGGAACTTCCTTGCACGTGTCACTCCCCGCCATAGCAACGCACAGAGCGATTGGAAGGAAGAAATCTCCCGTGCCGGTTCGGTTTTTGTAACGACGGCGTTTCTTATCCAATTACCGATTAAAGTCGTCACCTTCTCGTCGGAGAGTTTGATAGGATCATTACTCTGCTTTCCCATTACTTCGGCGGCGTTAATTTCTCCGTTCCCGTAACAACTGAATTTTTTCCGATTGTTAGTCCTGTCTTTCAATTTCAAAATCGATTCTCTGCTAAAACTAAAAACCCTCTCGCTCAACGGCGCGTACTCGTCAAACGTCACTTTCAGTCCATCGGCGGGAACTCTCAGAACCGCCGGCGAAATCAACACTGATTCACGGGTGAAAAACGGTTGTTTCGAGATCAAATTTGCTCCTCTACAAACCTCAGCGAAAGTATTAATGAAGTTCCATAAGGAAGTCCCATCAACCACCGCGTGATTCACGGAAAATCCAATAAAAACACCATCGTCGAGCTCCGTCACCTGAACCGCCAAAATTGGATTAAAATGGCCGTCGTAGCTCACCATCCTGTCAAAGGAGAAAAACCCCTTTACAGAATCGGGAACATGAGTTGGGGAAATAACATCATTCACAGTAAGATGAGTTGCACTGGCATGAACAAACTGAGCTCCGGCGTCGTTACAGGTGATATAGACGTAGCCATTGGCGTCAGTGATGAGACGACCGGCAAGAGGTGGGAAATGAGCAAGAGCTCGAGAAAGGCCTTGTTGGAGAAGTAAAAGAAGATCTGTAATGGCGATGGAAGGTCTTGGGAAGAGGTTACCCTTCTGGATATAGTGGCAAGAAAGCATAGGGAGGTCGGAGGCCGAGAGTTTCAGATCAGAAAGGGTGGACTTTGTGGCCGGAAAAACAGTTGATTTAGAGATGATCTGAGTTGCAGAGAACTCCATAACGGATTCACAAGGCATGGTTGTCAGTTATGTATGTGTGTGTGTGTGTGGGTGTAGAGAGATGAGTGTGAGGATAATTGGGAGGAGGTGGAAGGGTATAAATAGGTGGATGGGGTTCATGAACGTGGTGGTGGTGGTGCCATTAACAAAGTTGATTCTGGTTGGAGTTGACTAATTAAGAACGAAGCAGAAAACTGAAATCCGACTGGCTCTCACGTGCCCCTCAACATATCTTCATTTCTTATCATAAATCCCCCTTTCAAACAACTTGACAAAATTATTATATTTGTGTATAGATAAAGTTATCTGTATAAATTAATTTATTTGTATAGATCGAAAATATTTTAGTTTTATAGGATTTTTTTCATAGATGAAATAAGTGTTTTTTTTTAAATTAATATTTATAACAATTTATAAAACATGATATATAAAATAATTTAGATCGAGTTGCAACATGAAATCAAATTTATATGAACAAATCTTTTTTAAAATAAAAAATTAAAAGCAAATAAAATTATCTCGAAGGAATTAATGGAAGATTTGTTGTTTGAGAAATCAAGGTCAAACATTTACATTTGATTTGGTTTGACGAATTTTATGTTCAAACCTTTTTGTGATCCAATGTTACATAACTGCAAAAAGGTTTTAAGTATTAAAAAATGGGTCGTAGAATTATGAGGATGTTGGGAACCAAGGAAGGCAAGGGGCAAGAAAGTGCGGCGGCCAGCGACGGCACGCGCATCCAAATGATCGGGAGCGCCGGAACCAAGAGGTCTTCAACGGTCAAATAGGGATTCTTGGAGTGGACCCCCTTTTTGTTTCTATTTTTAGAAATTCATTTGTCATGAAATATAAAAGTTATAATTTCATTTTCAAAATTCCAGAAAATGTCATCTGTTATTTTTTAATTATAGCAGAAAAACGTCTGTGCGTTCTTTTTATTTCCAACAGATAATATTATTATAAATAAATAAAAAATAATTTCCCTGAAATTAATTATTAGTAAAGAAGTGGGATTAATTAAAGGAAAAATCGGGGAAGATTTGGTTTGGGTCGAAAGTTCGGATCTGGATCTTCCTTGGGCCACTCATTGCCCCGTGTCCTTGTCACCCCATTCTGAAACCTTCATATCCAACCCTTTATCCCCATTCACTTCAATATATAAAAACACGTGTTTTTATCTCATACAAATCTCAAATCTGTTTTATAGATTGTTTTGGTTGATTATTAATTAAATTTTTTTATACATAAAGTTATCTGTATAGATTTTGGAATTTTTGTGAAAAATAAGTTAGATTATTTTTTAAGTACATATTTGAAAGGATATAAGTTAGTTTATTGAAACATTGATTCAAGTAGTTTATGAAGACTTTTTGGTCAATTTTTTCAATTATAACCCTCGTAAATCTTAATTATTATTTACTATTATTAATTATATATATATTAATTGTTAATAAATAAAAATAAAAATTAGTTATTATTAATATTAATTAATACT